TATATATATATATATCCCTGTCCTCCTCTCTAACGTACAATTTTTTTTATAGAAGTTAATGCAGAATTATTTCATCTATCTTGTGACATAATAAATCATAAATAAGATTTTAATGATTTCAATTTTGAAAAAATACTTAGATAAATGCAACAACAATAAAGATAGTTCATATTATTTTATAAGTCATGCATATATAATAAAAAAATTTAAAAAAAATCAGAGAATTTAATACTATAAAACTTTATTTTTATTTGAATGTTAAAATCTCTCGAATGAATTTTAATTCTTCATATGGAATATCACCGTCATAAACATAAAATTACCGTATTTTATATAAGTATGAATATTTACAGTATAATTTCAGGTCCTTGTCAAACAATGACATAAGTATTTTAATAGGAAGCAAAATTGTAAAAATCTTTTTATGTGTTATACTAGTGTTTTCGGTGGAATTTGATTCGGATAATCGAATACAAATAAATTAATAAATTTTTAAGTAAGATTTGAAATTTTTGGAAATTATATGGATTTTTTTATATTTGAACTAACAACCTATTGATTTTCAAGTTGAAATAAAGTAGAAAGAGAGGAATTTTGCATAAATGTAAAATAATAAAAGTTTGTATAAGAAATTGAGATTAAGAAGTGAAAAAAATTAAATTTGAAGAAAAAAAGGAGATTAAGAAGTGAAAAGTTTAAGTTTGGAGAAAAATAAGTAGGGAGAAAAATTACAAACAAATTTAAATCACTAGAATTGAAATGGTGGTTGATAACATTATCCTAACCTGTTAGTCTGTGAACACCACTAAAACTTAAAATAAGTAAGGTGTTTACAAGTTCTAACCCTCATTATATGATACAAACTAATATTTATAGAAAACAAGTTGTAACTACCCATAACTATCACTAATTACTAGCAAATCTTGACTGTTGATAGCTTTTGTCTTTGATCTCCATCATTGATGCAATTTATGATTTTAATTCTCCAAATAATCGAATTTTCATCATAGCCTTGTCATAGTGAAATTAATTGGAAGATAACATTGTAAAACTTAGTCTAAATAATACACAAAAATAGTAACTTCTAACACTTGAATTTGGAAATAGATTAATTTGAGAGTTTAGGAATTTTAAAACCCACAAGTAAACCAGTCTACAACACAAAATTTGGAAAAATTGATACAAAATGAGGTTGATTATAATAACTTATATTAAAATCGTGTCTATTCAACACTTGTTCAATCACATAATATATATTCTCATTATAAACTTGATTAGGTTGGTCTTGAGGGTTTTGATTTTGTTGAATATGGTTTACAAATCTATCTACATTTTGATCTCTATTTATTAGCACAAAATTTCTTAAACCATTTACATTTCTTGTTACTTGAATTTGTTCTCTGTCAACTCCCTCATTTCTAATATTTTCATTGTTTGAGTTTGAAGGTTGAGTTTAGCCATCTAATTTCTCTCGTATGTTATTCAATAATTCATATAAAAGAGCGAATACTGTTAATAGTTATGTTGAAAGCATATTTTTATATCATGATTACTATGATCCATTTGTTGTCTTATGGACCTAAGATTTTGATTCATAATCTCCGTCGAGAGATTACCATTATCTTTTATCGTGTTTTTGTTTGTTTGAACTCCGATTGTTTGCATTTCAAAAAGAATAAATCAATAATCTTGTTTTCGACAATTCGAATTCTCATTTTGCATGTTATGAGTCAAAATTGCAGTCATGGGTGCCAAAGTTGATTGTAGTTGATTAAGGAACATTTCAAGATTCAAATTTTGTGGCCTCAAATTAGGCATTGCCCAAAGCCATATACTTAAATAAGGTGTATTAATATTTGTATCTGCATTCTCTTAACACCACCATTGGATTTGGGCTGATATCGAAAGAGTATTTTTGATTTAAGTAGTTGAAATATTCTCATTTCTATTATTTGAAGTGTTTGCATTTTGTATATTGATAACAATCCTTGGATTTTTCAAATTGTTATTCAAAATGGAAATAACATCATTATCTCCCAAATTAGTTGATTCATGAATTTCTTGAAAAATATTATTTTCAAACTCTTTGTGGATTTGCCTGAACGGCAATATTTTCTAAATCGAAGTTGTTACTAGTGGCTATTATTTTGTCACTTCTTAGTATCATACACTTTCCTCAAGACTAGTTCTTTGTAAAATTTGACGAGAGTCCCATCGGGCATGCCAATTTGTTTTCAATGGAATTTAATTCCAAGAATCGAATACAAATAAATTTTAAGTAGGACTCAAAATATTTCAAAATCTTGTGAATTCTTTTATTTGAACTAGTAACCTATTAATTTTCAACTTGAAATAAAGTAGAAAGAGAGAGAGAAAAAAAAAGAATTTGTAAAAATGTAACATCTTTTAACATTTAGTTAAAATGTTCTTAAAAAACCATTTTTCGTTATTAAGTGAGTAAATTACTAACAAAGAAACTTGTAAATTTAGATTTTCTATTATTTTTCAAGTACTTAATTAAACATTTGACTAGTTCTATATTCACATCACTACATATGTATTTCTTTTTTAACTTTTGTTACTTTCACTAACAACATTTAACAACTCAAATCAAATAATTAATTATGATTAATAATTATGTGCAAAAATCCCTCAAGTTTGTGGTATTCATAGATTACAAATTAGAATTAGTCTTTAACTCAATACGTTAAAAATACTTGTGACATGATGAAAATAAATAAATAAATATGACTAATAAAATCTTTAAAAATTACTTTTAATTTTTTGGATCATTATCTTGTTTATCTAGTTGAAGTAAAGTTTCTCATATGTGTAAAACTTGTTTTAATTACATACATACTATTTAATTACTTGACTTTTTCAATATGTTTATGACAATGATTTAAAAGTTAAAACTCTTACATTATTTTTTTTTTTTTTAAAACAATAATTTGTAGAATGAGAAAATACAATATGTATACATTGAAGTACAACAGCAAAAGTCTTTAGCTTTAACATAAGAATTTGCAATGTCATGCAGTGTTAAGGATATGCCTGACATGGTGTGTATAATGTTCGAAGATTTGTATATAATAATTTTCTTTGTACATATTAGTGTTTACCTAGAGTTCAGTTTATGTATCAAAATTTATAGATCGCTCAGAGCATATTCAGTGGAGGTTGCTTATAAGTAACTTTTTGTGCCACATCATTACCACATCAGTTCTGGTTCACTTTATGGGTTATTTAAATTTTAGCAGAGTTGCTTGTAAAAACAACTTTGTTAAAATTTAAGCAACCCATAAAGTGAACCAAAACTGATATAGCAATGATGTGGTAAGCAACCCTCACCAGAGATGGTCTCATTTAACCTGCAACTTGTACGGGCTATGCTCCTAAAAATATTAGCTGATTAGGTTGTGAGCTTTTTGATCCAATCCATTTAGTTTGTGGTGCAAATGAATTTACACTTGCATACATGAATTTTTGTGAGAAAATGCTTTCAATCAGCATCTTGTTTTATTGATGAATTAAGGGTCATATATATATTAGTCATTGTTACAACTGAAACGCAAAACAGCAACAAATTTGAATATAAAAGTAACAAACTGATCTTATCCTGATATAACAAACTCTAAACAAACTGATCTTATCCTGATACTCCCCCTCAAGTTGGAGCATGGAGGGAGGAGATGCCTAACTTGGTGATTAGAAAATCAAACTGTTTGGAAGGCAGAGCCTTTGTCATGATGTCAGCAGGTTGGGAATTTGTCCGAATATGTTGTGTGGAGATTGTTTTATCTAGAATATGGTCACGAACAAAATGACAATCCAATTCGATATGTTTTGTACGCTCATGAAAAACTGGGTTAGTGGCAATATGGATGGCTGATTGGCTATCGCAGAAGAGTTGCATGGGGATTGTGTGAGGGAGACCAAGGGAGCTAAGGAGTGATTTGATCCAAATAAGTTCAGAAGTAGCTGCTGCCATGGCTCGATATTCTGCTTCAGCTGAGGAGCGAGAGATGGTGTTCTGCTTCTTTGTTTTCCAAGAGATGGGAGAATGTCCTAGAGTAACGAAGTACCCAGTGATGGATTTTCGTGTAATGGGACAACTAGCCCAATCCGAATCACAATAAGCTCGAATAAGAAGGTCAGAGTCAGAACGAAGAAGAAGACCTTGACCAGGATTGGCCTTGATATATCGAAGCACTCGAATTGCGGCATCAAAGTGAATTTGCATGGGTTT